CTCCCCCCCCTCCCTCTCGCCCTCTCTCTCTCTCTCTCTCTCTCCCCTTCCTCTACTTGTCCCTAAGTATACTTGTTGTCAATCAGTTACATGCCACTCACAGCTGGGCAGCAAGTTGCTTTGAGGGCAAAGTATTCTGGTATCACCTCTGGTCTTTAAAATAGGGCAGTGCCATCATTTTGATGGAAAAGACAAACTGGCAACTGTCACTTCCTCACCCAGTAGGGATTTCTCAGAGCTTCTAATACTGTTCCACGACATGTGAGTTGCATCAGCTCTGTGGGACTTATAACCCATCTTCCAGTTATCATTGAATCCTCACAGTGTGCACAGGGCCCCAAACAAAAGCAAATGGTTAAATGTTTGTTGAAAGAAAGCCATGGAAGGGAAACATGGGCAGTCTATCTGTGACTTCCAGCCTCTTCCCATACATTGGCTACAAGCCACAAGACACAGCAGCATGTGACTCCTCTGCCACCACATCCTGGATCTGAATCATGTTCCTTGGCGGCAGCGAAACCCATCTTCTGCCCTCAATCTGTGCACATCTGTATGTGCAAGGTATGTGACAAGCCATAGGGGCCAGACTGCCAGAGGTTATAGGATCATGCCCCTGCTCTTTAATGGCCCATGTGACTGGGGCTGGTTATTTAACCCATGTGTCGTCTTTTCCTCCACTGTCCGATAGGGATGACAATGTTGATGGCACTTGTCAGCATCATTGGGAGGAATAAACGAGTTGCTAGCTTGTGAGACAAAGCAGGCCTGACATGTTAGCATGTGAGATAAATGTTAGCAGGGTACATAGATGTTCCATTTTAGTACATGGCTTATTTATAAGTTACAAAGTATATCCAATATAGATATTTTAAAAGAATGGGTTACACATCTAAGTGTCCCTTTGCCTCAGATGCTCAAGAACATACTTTGGATTTTTTTTTTCTATTTTGGAATATTTGCATATTTATAATGAGATCTCTTGGGAATTCATTGGTATTTCTCATGCACATAGCTCTAAAGTAATTCTATATGTCTTTAGTGCAACTGCCTTGACTGTAACCATCGTATAAGGTGTGCTGTGGGATTGTTCACTGGTATGGCAGGATATAGAACCCAGAAAGTATGGACTTTTGAGCATTATAGGTTACGGTTTTTAGATTAGAGATGTTCCGTCCATATTTCATTTCAGTTCTCTATTGTTCTGCCTTGAGCATTTCATTTTGAATGCCACAGTTCTAGGAGAGCCAAGCAAATTATTCCTCTCCTTCTCCAGGAGTTATAACATCCCTAGCCTCTGGTTGACAAAACTAAACATGGCCATGCCTAGGCCATCCTGTGTTAGCTCCCTTTGTGGTCTCCCCAGACCTCTTTTTGTTAAAATGAGGAAAAGACCCTGCTGTGATTCGCATAGGACATGGATTAGGTGTTGGATGGAAGCATAGTGAGCCACCAGCCTGGGAAGAAGGAAGAGCAAGCGGGACCCGCAGTAGGCCGGTCACTGAGCCTGAATGTTGGTCTCTACCCACAGGAAGTTCTCATGCCAGCCAAGCCTCTTCTCCAGCCAGAGGTTTTTAGGAAGGCAGCCCCTCATAGCTGTGTGGACAGCTTCTGGGCCTTACACAGTCAGGGTGGTAAGATGAAGTAAGAAGGGCACAGTGGTAAACCATGGAAATAAAGGCAGGATCTAGGTTACAGCCGTATCCAGGCCTAGCCTGGATTCAGTTACTTCCTTTTCAATAAATCATCTCACGGCTTTGAAGGAGACTTTGTCTGCTACAAGAGTGCAATTTGGAAAATGTACCCCCTTGAAACTGATCTTGCCATTTTTCCTGGGCACTTGTCCTGATCAGAGATTGTCCCAAATATCCTTCATGCGTGCACATCTCCTTCCTTCCGGCTAGCCAACCCAGTGAAGGAAGGTGTCACTGGTAGCCCCACTTTACAAGTGAGATTAATGAAAGCCAGAACTCAAACCTAAGCCCTTACAGACTGCATGGCCTGCCTCCAAACCTCCCCACCTCACAGAGCCACTGAGAATAAAGCACTCGGGAGAGAATGTGGCCAAGTCCAGTGCCAGCTGGATACAGTGTTACAGCATCCAATGTCCTGGTCAGCATCAGAAGAGTTAGCTGAGGAACATTTATTATATTCTGGTGGCTATCTGTCCAGTGGTCCCACATCACCTGCAAGATGCTTAATAATAAGGACACTTGGAGTCTGAGTCCGGAATCTTGCAGGGGTGTAGAGATTGTAGATGGTAGATGGTAGTTGGGCGGGACTTTAACAGACCTGGTCCACTTGACTCCAGTGCTCTGGTCTTATCCTTATCGCTGGGGTTTCAGAGACCTCAGGGGTAAAAGGATTCTCCTAAAACCATACAAGTCCTGCTCACAGGACTAGAACCCGAAGGCAATCCTCAGGGTTGTCTTGGTTGATGGTGAGATAGAAACACACTGACTCTTTAGTCCACTTAAACCATAGCCTGGAAGTAGAGAATGTAGCTCAGTCAGTAGAGTGCTTACCCAGCATGCACTAAGCCCTGGAATCCATTCCTAGCACGGTATAAACCAGTATGGTCCTATATGGATATAATCGCAGTGCTACAAAGGTGGAGGCAGAAGGATAAGAAATTCAAGATCATCCTTGGCAACAGAGAAAACCTGAGCTACAAAAGGCCCTATCTGAAAATAAAACAGCCTATGGGGAAGTGACTGTGCATGTTTATTCATGGAACAAATATTTGTTGACAGCCCTGTCCTCAGGCAGCAGGAGGTACTGCCTTTCCTGAAGAGTGCAGAATGTCTCTTATGGTAGTGTTAGCCTTCCCTGGAGCTCCAGGAGCATGGGGGCAGGGTTTGGGTGGGATGTTGAAGAAGCAGGTCCCCCAAGAAAAGAGGATCAGCTTTTGGTGAGAGGCCAAGAGGCCATACAAATTGCTTGAGGTGTTAAACCGATTATGAGATTAAACTGGTTTGTCAAGGTAGAGAACGGACTGTTGAAAGATTCAGAGCATGAATCAGGACTTATCTTCCGAAATGGAAACAAAGGTGGGTAGGAGGGCACAGAGGCCAGAAGGAAGTTGTTCAGTTAAGTAAGAGTTGTGGTGCGGCAGACAGTGTGTTTCCTGTGAGTTGAGGTCAGCATCGCAGTTTCTCTTTCCATCGCCATCATCAGGGGGATGCAGCTTTGGCGGCATCTTCCAACCTGAGGATTGGTAAGTAGAGACTTTGAACTGTAAACCATTACTTCAAATCTCTGGGATTAACCCAAATCCCCCAGATCAACAGTGAAAGCGCTCACTCATTCCACTGTAGGGCTTTCATGAAAGCAGCTGATTGAAGCATTTCATTTCGGTCTCTGTGTGAAGCATGGTGACTAGCCAAGCGAGGTGGCACACACCTGTAATCCCAGAGGCAGAGGCAGGAGGATCTGTGAGTTCCAGGCCAGTGTGAGCTGCTTAGTGAGACCCTGCCTCAGGCCAACAAAGGTGGTTTTTGCTTAAGTAGCTCTTTGCCTTGTGTGTTAACTCGAAGCTCCAATGTGCGTGAGCTACATCTCTCAAACCTGTTGCACGCCGAGTCAAGGCTGGAAGGAAACTGAGGCAGGTTGCCTGAGAAGCGGCAAGCAGATCTGTGCTTGGGTGGCTTCCTCCTTTCTGACCCAGAGATGCCCCATAACAAGCCCATAAGGCAGACTCAATGGAGCGCCAACCCTCACATTGATGTGGTAGGGTTCCGTGTACCCTGTCCTTGTCCAGGGAGGGCCACTGACTGCTATTTTCTCAGGCAAACCGATGACAGAAACTTGAGTGAAGTATTTAGAACAGGTGTTTGAGAGGGAGTAAAATGACATCATCTCTCTGGTCTGGAGCCTCAGGAAGTGGTCAGGGTATCAGGAGGAGTCCATGCGGGTTTGGCAGGACTCTTGGCTAGACTGAAAAGTCTGTGAAAAGTCATCCAGACCAATGGTGCTGCAGAGTCTCAGGCTCTGTGAGCGCACATACCTGGGGATGTGTGGGTTGTTCCTGCTATGAAACCAAAGCAGTATAGATGCCACTGCTGATAACTGGCGCTCTCTTCCATTGCATTTCAGGGTGAAGAAGCTGAAGGAGACATTTGCTTTCATTCAGCAGTTAGACAAAAACATGAGCAATCTTCGCACCTGGTTGGCACGAATCGAGTCT